CAAATGTGTAAGAGGGAAAAAAATCGAACTTCCTTTGATGGGGAAATCTATGTTTTTGTGTTGAAGCAGCACCATCTTGTGGGTTTGTGAGACATTACCACAACGACTTGCACAAAGAGATACTTGTTCTGTGTTTGTTTCCTTTACGTGTGAACACGCAGGGATCTAAGGTTATCACTGGACTCTCTGTGACATTCCAACTCAGACATGGTTTCTGATGCTGAAGTACTACGTGTAGAGAGAGTAATACCACTTGGTTTGTCTGGCATTATTCATGAAGTTCTTAATTTATGGAAGAGGTTAGAGGGAGTGACTGCTTCTGTTTATAAATTCCTGTCCCAGCCAGTGGCATGGTGGTTAAGTGGCTTGAGTCCTGGACTGAGTAGCTTGAAAAAGATGATAGGTGTGTACATGTGTGCCCAATACCCCAAGAGGAGACTTGGAGGAGAAGGGATTGCAGTGTGGCCATCCCCTCCGGGGAGTGTCTACTTTCTTCCTCTAACTCCAGTCCATGCTCATGCCCTACAGCAAATTGAAAAGCAAAATAAAACAAAACAATACAACCCCTCCACTTTCAAAGGATTCCATTAAATATCAAGGTCTTTCTGATACAAATAATTGTGAGTTTAGGGGAAGGATACTGAGATTAAGTAAGGATGACTTTGGGTCGAGCACTTATTAATCAATTATTAGCCAAATGTAGGGAATTGTAGAAACAAATACATGTGTATATGTGTATATAGTTGTCAGTTATGAATTGGTGCTACCAGCATTTTGAATCTTTTGACTTTCAGTTACCCAAAACTGTAGTGGTAGATAGATGTCTGTGCACTCTACTAGTAAAAATGTATTAATAAATACATAACTGTTATAAGGCTAGCCTGTACGTACCAGAGAAGCAACAAGAATCCTTCAAACCTGGTCAAAATATTTCAGAGACTACTACAATCTTTTTTATCAAGTGACCTCCTGCTTAACAACTTGGTTTCTGGTTACCTTGATTGTTTGTTGAGAGATTTTTGCTATAGGACGTGTGTGCTCTCTGGAGAGACAGAGAGATGGAAAGCAAGAAGTCAGCCCCCAGAGAGGTGGCCCTGTCTCAATTCTTTCTCCTCCATCCTCCTCCTGGATCTTGGGCACACACACGCACTCTCCCAGCATGAGTTTCTAGCCACAGTCTGGGACTCAAACCACGTTCAGCCATGTGGGATCCAGTGACATAATCATTATGCCATCTGCTGGTCCTGGTTTCTAGAGGAAGGGTACCCTGATTTACTAAAAAGGTCTATACCTCCCCTGCCACCTCCACCATTTCCTTTTTCCCAGGATAAACTGCAGCATTAGTATTGTAGTTTCTAAATTCTGAGCCTGGACAGCTGAAGCTCTGATTCTGGTTTGAAGCAGGGCATCACCACCACCTGTCTTCTCTATTTCACCTTCACTCTAAAGTTCCTCCCCAGGCAAGTCCCCAAAAGAATTCCCTGAAGATTTTAAACAATGTTTCAATTAGGTATATAGGTTCCTGAAAATTTTTATTTTCCATCAAATGCAACTTTTAGCTATTAACTAGGTAATCAAGATAAATCTGTCTCAAAGATTTCTATTCATATCTACGATCAAAATGGAATAGCAGGAACTGGATTTACCTACTGTGTTTTTCAAAAATTGCACAGTAGGTGGAGCGGAGCAGAAATGAGATCCCACAAAGTGGGGAAACGAATTAAGTGATTCCTACATTGTCCAAACTCAACGGCCTAAAGAGAGGATCTAGGCTCTGGTGTTATGAGGGGGAAGCCAGTGTGAGCCAGGCATCCCAGTTGAGTTCTGCGTAAGGAGCTCGGAGTTTAAAGAGGACAAGGTGACCAGATTCAGCAGGGTAGAAAATTAGAGAGAGGGGAGCTACACAAAGAGAGAGCTCTGGAAAAGAACCACCTAAAGAATCAGAGAAGCTGGAAAGTATTCATATTTCCACCAACCAAAGAGGAAAATCTAATACATTAAAAGCCATCAGACAGGGCCAGCAGGCAGCATAGCGGTTAAGGTGTTGGCTGACAGAAGTTCGAGTCCTAGACCCTGCAGCTTGAAACTGACACTGGGGGTGTGTGCGTGCGTGTGTGCCCAAAATTCCAAAAGGAGAATGGAGAAGAGACTGCAATGCGGCTATACCCCCTGAAGGGTGATTTCTCACTTTCTGTCTCTCTCTGTTTTTCCAGCAAGCACATGTGCCCTATAGCAAAAATCTCTATTAAACACACACCAAAAAAAAGGAAGGAAGAAAGGCAGGAATCAGGCAGAGTACGCAGAAGAGCACTACCTCAGTAGTGAGGAAAAAAATGAGTTGTAGATTCATTCATTATATGGCTTCTCTAGTGCCAGTACCCAAATATCTTAACTGCATCCCAGAGCAGAGCCCAACAATGTTTACAGGAACCCAAAACATCCAGCACCCAACAAGGTAAAAATCACAATGTCTGATATCCAATTAAACATTACTTAAGCACACAAAGAAGCAGAAAAACATATCTCACAAAGAGGAGATTAATCAGTCTATCAAAACTGACCCAGACTGATCAAGGTGGTAATTGGTAGACAAGGATATTAACACAGCTACCATAACCACATTTCACACATTCAAGAAGCTAGAGGAAAGACTGAACACGTTAAGTACAGTCATAAAAGACATAACAAAGCCTCAGTTCAGATTTCTAGGATGAAAAGATGTCTGAGATGAAAAATATACTGTAGGTGACTGACAGCAGATTAGATGCCCCAGAAAAAATAATTAATGAACTGGAAGACATAAAAATAGAAACCACTCAAATAGAAAAAAATTAGTAAACTGTGGTATAACCTGAAGAGATTTAATATACTAAATACACTGCACATGTATTATTCTCTTCTGAGTATCTAAGGAGAGGAGAAATATGAGACAGAAAAAAGCAGTTGAAGAGATAATGGCCAAATATTTCCAAATTGGATGAATATCTTAAACCCACGAGTCCAAGAAACTCAATGAACCCTAAGCACAAGGAACAAAACAAATGACCCCAAAGCTCATCATAGTCAGTCTTTAAAACCAGTGAGAGGGGTTAGCAGGTGGTGTGGTGGTTAGGGCACTGGACTCCCACATGGCTGACTGCGCTGAGTCCTGGACCTGGCAGCCTGCTTTCTCACCTTCCCTCTCTCTCTGATCAAATTAAAAATAACAACAACAACAATAATAAATAAATAAAATTAAGCAAAATAATTCTTTAAAAAAAAAAGTGAGAATAGGAGGCCTGCAGATGACATGGTGGTTAAGTTGCTGTATTCCCACGTGGCCAACCACAATCCAAGCTCTAGGCCCAGCAACTTGAAAATCATACTGGGTATGTGCACGCATGCTCAAAATCCCAGGAGGAGAATAATGGAGTAGAAAGGACTGCAGCATGGTCATCCCCCTGCCCCAAAGGGGGAGGAAAGTGATTTCTTTCCCTCTCTCTGACTCTGATGACACATATGCCCTATGGCAAAAATCTTAAAAAAAAAAAAAAAAGAAAGAAAAAGAAAAAAAAAAATAAGACTATTAAAAAAAAAAAGAAAGAAAAGGGGCCAGCAGGTGGTGTGGTGTGCCGGTTAAGGACACTGAACTCCCACATGGCTGGCCATGGTTCGCGTCCTAGACCAGATGGCTTGCTTTTTCACTTTCTCTCTTCTCTCTCCCTCCCTCTCCCTCTCTGTCCCTCTCTGATCAAATAAAAATAAATAAATAAGTTAAATAAAATAATTATTAAAAAAAAAACCAAAACCAAAATTAAAATATAGGTAGTATATCTGGCATTATTCTATTTTATGTAACATTCTAGAAAATTCAAACTAACTTAAGGTGACAGAAAGCAGATCAGTAGTTACCTTGGAATAGTGGTGGCGGGGGATGGAGAAGAAGGAGGGATTATAAAAAGTAAAAGGGGAATTTCTGAGTGGGATCAATATGTTTATTATCTTGATTGTGGTTATGATTTCATGAGTGTACAAATATGCTGAAACTTAACAAACTGTACATTTTAAATATATGCAGTTTATTGCTTTACTTCCATAAAGCTGGGGGTAAAAGAAAATTCACCCACCCAACATTAAATATAATCATTCAAAATCTTAAACTGGGGGTCAGCAGATGGCATAGTGGTTAAGGCACTGAACTCCTATGTAGTCAACAATGGTTCGAGTCCCAGAGGCTTAAAACTCATGCCACGCTGGGACCAGCAGTTAGCATAATGGCTACATCGCTGGACTCCCATGTAGTTGACCATGGTTCAAGTCCTGGACCTGGTGGCTTAAAACTCACGCTAGGTGTGTGTGTGTGTGCTCAAGATCCCTAGAGGAGAATGGAGGAGAAGGGATTACGGCGTGGCCATCTCCCCTGAGGTGATTTCTTGCTTTCTATCTCTCTGTCTGTCTGGCGAGCACCCGCACCCTATAGCAAAAACCTCTCCAAAAAAAAACAAATAACTCATGCCAGGCACATGTGCATGCATGCCCAAAATCCCAAGAGGAGAATGGAGAAGGAACTGCTGTGTGGCCATCCCTCCGGGGGTGATTTCTCACTTTTTGTCTCTCTGTCTCTGTCTCTCCACTGAGCGCACATGCCCTATAGCAAAGAAAGAAAGAAAGAAAGAAAGAAAGAAAGAAAGAAAGAAAGAAAGAAAGTCGAACTGACTTCTACATGGTGCTTAGACTGGGTAACAAAAGTCTTAGAATAATCCAAAGGTAATAAAAGAGAAGAGAGGGCTGTGCGTGTATAGAGACAAAATCTGCCTCTACAGAGGAACTTGTATGTTGTTCCAGAGGCCAGATTCTATTACTCAAGGTGATAATGAGGAAACAATGTGGCTTGATAGAAATACTGAACCTCAGGATTTATTCCACATGTACTGTAATTGTTCCTGAGCGAGGCCCTCCTCTCTGCTCCACTTCTCAGGCTGTGCCCCACTTCTGTCCTCCTCCTGCAGGAGTAAGCTCACCTGAGGTGCTGATGGGAGAAGTGAGGCTCCGAAGTCCTGGTCTCTGATGAGCCTTTCCTCAGGTTGGGCAGGAAGCTGGGAAGTAGCCAGAGCTGAAGTAAGAAAGGGAAGTTTTCAGAATCTACAAGTCTTCCTTAACCACTCCCCAGAGACACAGATAAAAGTCTTCACAAATTAGGGACCAGCAAACGGTGTAATGTTTATGTTGCCGGACTCCCACGTAGTCGACTGTGGTTTGATTCCTGGACCCAGTGGCTAGAAACTTATACCAAGTGTGTGTGCATGCCCGAGATCCTGAGAGGAGAATGGAGAAGGACTATGGTGAGGCCATGCCCCCTGAGGGGGGGTGATTTCTCACTTTCTGTCTCTGTCTCTCAGACAAGCACATGCACCTTATAGCAAACATCTCTCTTAAAAAAAAATAAAAAGAAACAGGGACCAGCAGTTAGTGTAATGGCTATGTCGCTGGACTCCCATGTAGTCGACCGCAGTTCGCGTCCCGGACCCAGTGGCTTAAAACTCATGTTGGGCGTGTGTGCGTGTGCGCCCAAGATTCCGAGAGGAGAACAGAGGAGAAGGGATTGTGGCGTGGCCATCCCCCCTGGGGGGTGATTTCTCACTTTCTATCTCTCTGTCTCTCTCTGATAGTGAGTGCACGTGCCCTATAGCAAAAAACTCTCTCAAAAAAAAAAAAAAAAAAAAAAAAAAAGAAAGAAAGAAATTACACTTGTTATGCCATCTAAATTTCTAGATGTGTTACCTCCTGTAACAAGCTTCGGCTCCCTCCAACCTTCCAAATGTCTCCTATTTTCACCCACTTCTTTCTTTAGAACTAAAATCCAAATTGTCTGGCTCTGTCCTAAAGTGGTTAAAATATAGATTTTAAATCTCTGATTCATGATATTTCATGTAATACCCTTTACCCTGTTGCCAAGCTTTCAGGGATACCCCAATCTAAGCAGTATGTCATTTCATCTCACACTTGGGCCTATCACCCCCAAATTTCTCCAAGAGAGTACCACAAACACCCCATGATATTGTCCTCACCTAATTCCGGTTCTAAATCAGACTCCTCTTTTACAACGTGGCTCAGCAGCTCTCCAGGAGAGTTCTGAAGTCCCAACTCCTGGGGCACCACTTCAAGATGGGGCTCCACACTCCCCACATGGCTGCTTAGAGACTCCATCTTCTCAGATGAGATTTCCTGTCCTAGCACCTGGATGCTGATCTAGAGACCAAGCAGCACTGATTATTGAAGGATCCAGAGTCGGAATTTCTGAAAGATACAAAGCTAACTTTCTAAAACAGATCATAACGCTATCTTTAGGGACACAAGTAGGAAAAAAGAAAGCCAGCTTTTATTTCTAGTCTAGCAGGAACCAGTGGAAGAAATATCCCAAAAGATACCAACAGCTGAGACCTGAACCAGTTCTGGGAGACCTTCGAGATGTGCCACTAAAACTGTGTTTCTACTGGCTGGTCTCCACCAATTAAAACTCGGGCATCTTTTGGTCAACTTGTGAAGACAGAATGGGATGGGAGACTTTATCCTCAATCTCCAATGGCTGTAAAGCATTGAGGGTCAAAGTCTCAGAATCAGGTGCAGTATAAGGACACCCAGATGTGGTAAAATAACAAATATCCACGTGGTCTTTGTGCCTGCTTCCTGACAGAGTTCCTAAAAACCTTTGTAATTTCCTGAGTGATAGGAATGTAGGAAGTGTCTTCTGTTCATTCACAATGAGACCTTTTCAACCATACCTGAGTCTAGGTTAATATGGTGACAGGCAGAAGGCTGACTAGAGGATTGGGACTTTCACTCACACTTCCCAACTTTGGGACGGGAGAGACACTGGAGATTTCAACCAAAAATAAAAGACTTCATAGACTATGCCAAAATAGTGAAATCTCCATAAAAATCCCTGAACGATGGAGTTCTGGGAGCTTCCAGGGTGGTGAACTCGAGGTCCCCCATGAAGGTATACTAGGAGAGAGCACGGAAGCTACACACCCTCTTCTCCAGACTCTGCCCCATGCAGCTCTTCCACTGGACTCTTAGGAACTTGTATCCTTTATAAGAAGTAAGTAAAGTGCTTTCCTAAGTACTGTAAGCCATTCTAATAAATTATCAAATTTGAAGAAAGGATTGTGGGAACTCCCAAATTTATAGTCAGTTTATCAGAAGTACTGGTGATACAGAAGTACCTAGGATTTGCAATGGGCATCTGAAGTAGGGGCATCTTGTGGGAATATGCTCTGAACCGATGGGGACAGTGCTAACTCCAGGTAATGGAAGACTGAATTGCTGGACACCCAGTTGGTGTCACAGAATCAGAGAACTGGTTGTTGGCTGGGTTCATAAGTGGTATCAGAAAAAAGACAACACATTGGATGAGATCCCAAAGGATACCTATGCTTCATTCACAGATCCTAACACTCTCTGCTTACCCACTGCCAGAGTCTCCAGGGATCTCCCTTCAAGCTCTCCACAAGGGTCACTGCCTCCTCTCCACTGCCTGGACACTGTTTCCGCACCCACATCTGGATCTCCCCGGGCAGGATGGTCAGAAACTGCTCCAGCATGAGGATCTCTAGGATTTGCTCCTTGGTGTGAACCTCTGGTCGCAGCCACTGGAAACAGAGCTTTCGAAGTTGTCTCAGGGTCTCATGGGGCCCAGACATCACCTGATAACGAAACTGCCTGAAAAGTTGGCGTGCAGTCTCCGGACTAGAGGGATCCCCTTGTGGGACAGCATCTGGTCCAGGGAACAAGGAATCCTCGGTCTTTGCCAGCAGCGGCAGCAGGCCTGGGGCCTGTCCCACGTCAATGGGCATTGTCTGGTTTGGAAGTCCTTTCAGGTGAAGTGGGTCTGGGGTGCAGATGTCTCGCGGGGAGAACTAGGTCTTCACGGGGACATGCAGAAGGAATGAGATCAAGTGCTAGACGGAAGAGAAGAACATATTTTCAGAAACAAGAAACTCACGTACCCTACATAAAAAGCCTTGGAGTCAACCATGGATCTCTTGAAACTGCTCAGTGGATACACTATTTTAAAATTAATTCTAGGGGAGGACCAGCCCCGTAGCCTCACAGTGAAGAGAGCTGGATCCCACATGGTAAACTATGGTTCAAATCCTGGCTCCAGCATCTTGAAAAACATATGCCTACATGTCTAAAATCTCAACAGGAGAAACAGAGAAGGAATCACAGCATGCCTGTGCCCCATTGTGAGGTCCTTTCTCCCTCTCTGTCTCTTTGTCTCTATCTCTCATTGGCACAGACACACATGCTCTGGCAATGAAAAATTTACCCTAGGGTGTAGTCTTAACTCCTAATATACAACCTTTCTCATCTCTTAGGATGCCATGGGTGTTAATGGGGGGCTCTCGATTCTGGATAGTCAAAAACTCCAATGTCTATCATTACTGATTGGCCCTTTTTTTGGAGAGGTTTTTCCCTATAGGGCGCGTGCTCTCACCAGAGAGAGAGAGAGAGACAGAGAGAAAGAAAGTGAGAAATCACCCCCCCCCCAGGGGGGTTGGCCACACCACAGTCCCTTCTCCTCCATTCTCCTCTCAGGATCTTGGGCATGCATGCACCTGCACCGGGTCCAGGATTCGAACTGAGGTCCACTACATGGGAGTCCAGCAACATAGCGATTAAGCCATCTGCTGATCCCCTGATACCATTTCTAAGCAAGTATCATCACCTGCCCTTTTTATGGTATGTTCTTTTGGTCTTCAAATGTCCAGACCAGGCAGAAGAACAAAGTGCACCATAGGAAGCATTTTCTACTTTCTCAAATAATTATTTATTTTATTATTACTATTACCATTTAATTTACTATAGGACATGTGTGCATGAGAGAAAGTGAGAAAGCAAGCCCCTAAGTCCAAGACTCAAACCACAGTTAGCCATATGGGAGTCCAGCACCTTAACCACCACGCCACCTACTGGCCCAAAGCATTTTCACTATAGATTTTACTACAGATTTCCGAGAATGGCTCTTCTGCAAAAAAAAAAAAAAAAAAAAAAAAAAAAAAAAAAAAAAAAAAAACTTCTATATCAGCAACCATGTATCTGAACATTTAAAAAATAAAAAAATAAATTTAAAAATAGCTGGGCACTATTATTGAAAGCTGGACACAAAAACAATCTAATGCCCTAGGAATAAAGGCTAATGTTAAAATGATCATGTGTTTCCATGGTAAACAGGAGGTCAAAGAGAACAAATTAGATCTTCCCCAAAAGGTAAAACGAAATTTTCAAGTGACCTCTTCTGAGTGCTGCATTGCAAAAAGGTCTACCAAGGAATTTATGGGAAATCTGTGATAACGGAAACTTTCGACCTGGGGCCTAAAGGTTTAGAACAGATAATGACTACCTCAAAAATATTCCAGGGACCAGCAGTTAGCATAATGGCTATGTTGCTGAACTCCCATGTAGCCAACCGCAGTTCGAGTCCCGGACCTGGTGGCTTAAACTCACGCCAGGCACATGTGCATGCATGCCCAAGATCCCCAGAGGAGAATGCAGGAGAAGGGATTGCGGCATGGCCATCCTCCCTGGGGGGTGATTTCTCGCTTTCTATCTCTGTCTTTCTGGCGAGCACACGCGCCCTATAGCAAAAACCTCTCAAAAAAAAAAAAATTCCTATGCCCTTAAAATAAGTAACCACTATTTTATCTGAATGATATCAAAACTTGGAAGATAATAAGCAAGAAAGTGAAATAAAGAAATATTAAGTGACAAAGTTAATAGTAAGGTATTTTTAAAGAACCATGCATTGTATCTAGTTAACTTTTTTTTCAGGTAACCCTAACACTGGGTCAATCTTTAAATGTTACGAAGGAGCTAGAGGTCATCATTTTTCCCTAACACTAATGGCAACAATCAAAACAACACCCTATCACTTGGGTGTCTAGATTAATCAGGGAACTATATAATACTCTAGCTTTGGGGCTGGCAGGTGGCACGGTGGTTGAGGGCGCTGGAATCCCACATGGCCAACTACGGTTTGAGTCTCAGATCTGGCAGCTAGCTTTCTGTCTCTCTCTCTCGTCAAATTAAAAAATAAATAAATAAAGCTAAATAAAATAAATAATTTTTAAAAACCTCTAGCTTTGAATAGCTGTTTTTCTTAAGGTAAAAGAAGCAATGTACTCACCCTCACCATTTCAATCAAATAATTCATCCCACAGCAGGAAATCATTACAAAAAAAAAAAGTATGCTTTTTCAGCAGTCAAACAAAATGGAAAAAGGCTTAAAGGATCATCACATTTTTCATATGAATCTCATTACATTTATTTTTTTGCTTAAAAAGAAACCCATAAGAACTGAAAGGCAGTGCAATGGTGAAATGTGGTGCTCTCTGAGACTGACCCACATGGGAGAGTTCCAGATTTGCAGCTAGAGACCTCCCTGAGTGTTCAGGGCTGGCTGAGGCTGGGGTGGGTCACATGTCAAGACCTTATTGGAGCTCCCATCTCTGTCTCTCTGTCTCTCTTCCCCACACACATGAATCAAATAAAAAAAGACTTATAAAATAATAAATCCACATATTTCATTTTTATATTTATGTAGGATATACCGTGTAGTGTGATATATATTAAGTGCTCAATATATACACATTTGAGGAATCCTGTTTCTGCCCATGGCAGAGTAACTGGTAATACTGACTAGCCTAGTTGCTGGAAACAACTATAAAACTGAAGAAAACATATATGAAGCAACTGGAGAATAAGGCAAGCAAGAATGTAGTTCTTGAGAGAAGAGAAATTTATGAGGTAAGCACCAATATCATAAAGTTGGGGACAATTTTCCAACTGCATAGCAGGACATTGGAGCTCAAACAGAGCACGGCGGTCTCACTAGGTAGAGGAGGCAGAGATCAGAATTTGGAGCTGCTGAAGTTGCTGGAATCTCAAGAACAAGTCTCAGCAAAATTCACAGGTAAGACCCAGTCAATGGTCTAGGCTCGTCAACTTATAACTTAAGAAAGAAATTGGGTTTCCCAAAAATCTGCCCTATTAAAACATAAGACCAACTCTTTCACCCAAGACCCCTACCTGTTAGAGTGTGAGATCAGGGCCTGTTTTTTGTTTCTTGAGACCACCTCCTCATTTCTGCACCCACAGTGGAAGAAGGTGGGTGGAGCTATATTTCTGGTGCTAATTCCAGTTTACCCTCTCTCCCAACTAGGAGCAGAGAAAAGCAGGCAGCTCTTTCACTCCAGACCCCTACCCAGGTAGGGCGTGAAATCAAGGTCTGATTTTGGATATCACTCCTCACTCCGACATGCTCAATCTCAGGTCAATGCCCTACCACATAGCCACCCAATCAGTCTAGATATGTTGGAGCCCAACACCTGAGCACTGTGAGGCCTTGGAAGAGTTCTGTTCTACACTCACATCAACAAAAGGAGAGGAAAAACCCTCTCTGTAAATCTGAACCTTCACTCGTAAAAGGTGATTTCTCACTTTCCCTCTCTCTCTGTCTGCCTCTCTGGCAAGCATCCACCCTCTGACAAAAATCTAAAATAAAATTTTTAAAAAAGTAAAAATAATGACAATATAACAGGAGTAAAGGTAAAAGATTAAAATAGTATGAAGGAAGAGTAATGGAATTAACTTGTTATGTTATTACACTTCCGAACTGCCAAGAAGGAAGTGGGAGGCAAGTGGTGGGGAAGCGTCAGGTGGGAAATGGGAAGTGTAAAGGTGTTAAGTGAGAGGTGGGAAATGAAAAATATGATTTGTGAAATATAAAGTGGTGCATATTAAAGTCGATTTTGGTAAGTTAAAGTAAGCTCTGGTAAGTAAATAATGTATACTTGTAACTCTAAAACTATTATCCACCAATGTATAGATAAAAAGCTAATAAAGGAATTCTGAAAAGCACTCAACCCAAACTGTGTAAAGAAAGGAACAAGAGAGAAACAAAACTAAAAGTCAAATAGAAAACAAGACAAGATGGTAGACTAAAAGTCCACTACATCAATAACTCTATTAAATGCAAATGGTCTAAACAATCCAATTATAAGTCAGAAATCACTGGATTTTAAAATGCAAGAACCCACTATATGCTGTCTGCAAGAAACATATGAAACACAAAGACACAGGTTGAAAACAAATAAATTTTTTTAAAAAGACATTCTTATACAAACAGCAGGCATGAAAGCTGATATGGTTACGGTATATCTGACCAAGCAGACTTGAAGATAGAGAAAAAAATAAAAGGGGCCATTCCATTGTAAGAAATAATTCACGTGGCTATATTAGGAAAAAACAAACTAAACTCCACAATAAGGAGAAATAAAGGACATTTCACAGACCAGCAAGTGGCAAGGTGGTTAAGGTAGCTGGATCCCACATGACCAGCTGTGCAACTCAAGTCCCAGACCTCATAAGGTTGAAAAAAACACTACAAGCCTGTGTGTGTGCCCCAAATCCCAAAAGAAGTAGAAAGGGGATTGCAGTGTGACCTTCACCCATAGAGTGCTTTCTCACCTTCCCTCTTTCTCCTGTGAATGCACGTACCCTCTAGCAAAAAGGACATTTTGTAATGATAAATGAGTCAAATCATCTAGAACATACAACCACCATAAATGTGTATGCCCCAGGATCAGTTTTAAAAGAACTACCCCTCACAGCTCAAGACTTAACCACCCTTCCCTAATTGAGAGGGCAAATACACAAAATGAAAAACAAACAACAACAGAAAATAACACCGGGACCACCAGATAGAGAAATGGTAACAACGCTGGATGCCCACACGCTGGACGCCCACATGGCCAACCGTGGTTCAAGTCCTGGACCCGGCAGCCTCAAACTCCCACCGAATCCTGAGAGTAGATTGAAGAAAAAGGGATTGTAGCGTGGCCATTCCTCGCAGGAGAAGGGTGACTTCTCGCTTCCTGTCTGTCTCTGTCTCACTGGCAAGCAGATACGTCCTATAGCAAAAAAATCTCTCTTAAAAAAAAACAATCAGTAAGGGTATGGGAAACCTGAACACCATAACTAACACAGAACATTAGACTCAACAACTGCAGAATACACACGTGGAACTTCACCAAGAGACCGTACATGTAATCCAAATCCAACAGCCTGAAATCTGGAAATACATATTCTCTGACCATAGTGCAATTAGGCTAGAAATTAGTAACCGCAATCTATCTTATTAAATAGCACTTAGTACACTCCAGAAAAAGAAATCACAACGGAAATTAAAATGTATTTTATACTGAATGATAATAAAAACACAGCATGTTGAACTTCATGGGAACCAGCTAAGCCAATACTTAAAGAAAAACCAGCTGTTTTGAATAAATATGTTTAAAAATGAATGAATATACAAAAATACTCCACTATCTGAATTTATTCAGGTCCTAATAGTTCAATTAACCCAAGATTTTAGATAGCAAAATATTGATCTGTAAATTTATTTGGCTCCTGAACTAAAATCCACCATTTAGATAACATTTAGGAGAAATGACATTTACAGAAAACTCTAGATCTTACCAAACATTTAAATGATGTTAGTAATTACTACTTCTGGATGGTGGTGAGAAACCTGTCTCAATTATTCAAAATACCTTATAGAGAGGGTTTATATACCAATTACTGTACTATATGACGGATCTGCTTACTTTAGTTACAAGAATTTAAAGTTATCAGTTATAATTATTAAAGGTTTAAAAAAATTACAGTGAATTTTTATATGTCCGTCTAAGTATACTTACCACACATACGTAAGTGCATACCTGATTACGTACAGAAGTAACTATTTACTTAAGCACGTGCTAAATATAAATCACTATTTGCTTTTCATGTTATTCCCAACTCTTGTAATCACCCTGCAAGGTTAAGTATTAAAGTTTGCAGATCAAGAACCTCTTAAGTTCACAAGTGGCAGCCACATTCGAACCCAAGAGCTCTAAAACCTGTGTTTTGGACAAGAGCTTTGCCAACCTTGGGTAATTTGTGGGGGCGTTTTGGAACTGTTACACACGGTCGGGGGAGCTACCGGCGTTCAGTGACTGGAGGACAGGGCAGAGCAGGCCACCGGAGATGTAGTCTTCACCGGCATCCCCAAACACCGACAGCACCCTGATGAGAGACTCCAGGCATCCTCCTAGAGGGCTACGTCTCCCCGAGACTCATTTCAGCCCTGGGTAGAAGAAGGCAGCGAAGAGAAGCCGTTTTTGGTTCTCGGCGCAGACCCCGGCCAGAGCTTCCGTCCTCGCCCGCAGGTAAGGTTTCAGGGGTCCCCAGGCGCCCCGTCCACGATCAAGGCCCGGCTGCCCTTCCCCCGCACCCGCCGCGTCCCTACCGCGTCCACAGGCTCTGCAGCCACTACCGGGGTCCCGATCGAATCCCGCGCGGACCCTGGAGGCCTCAGGTCTGACCCCGGAAGACCAGCAGAGAGGCCCACCCAGCCTGGGCTCTCACCTCGGCCTGGCGCCGGTTTGGGGCGCACTTCCGGGAGCGGAGCGGCTGCGCGCGCCTGCGGCAGCC